GGGTTTGAACCACCAGCTGTCTGGTTAGCAGGCAAGTGTCTTAGCCACTATGCTACCAGAGCTCCCATATGAAAGTATACAGTAGTATATATCTTATAACAAGGTAATTATAGAAATCACTTTACTTTCTGCATATAACCATCAGCTAGAGTTTGGTTGATGTTTTACTTCTTGTCACTTGTACTATGAAGACAATAAGTTTTTCTTTTCGTTTGTTTTTCATTTTCCAAATAATCAATAACAATGCTGAACATATTTTCAAATGACACATGCCACTCTCCCTGATATTCCAGACCTTTCCCTATCTGGAGAATCTCTGTTCTATCTCAAGCTGAAAGTTTGCTTATATATTTATCTATTAGTTCTTCAAATAGCTTGGTAATGAACAAGGACCACTATTCTCACAGTTTCCTTGAACAGCCCAGGTCCTTGGAGAACCATGTTCTTCACACCTACTGTCACTGTCACTTTAGGGTCTCCATTATAACCATGGCCCTTCTCCATTCATGTCATTTGATAAATTAAATCCACAGTTAAGAAGGAAAAAGGAAGCAATACCTCTGCATGAAAATAAAATATGCTATTTGATCCGTGGGATCCCAAATAGCTAGAATCTTTTCCTTCAACTCCATAGAGGACTGGCCTTGGAGCAATTTTATTAGATCAGAAATAACTTTGAAACTGTAAAGTCTGCAGTTGTGATTGAAATAAGATACTATTTTAGGTGGATTCAGAGATCTCATGTATTGATGATATGTCTTGTTCATAGCTTTTCAGACTACATATTCTGTACACATTGTAAACATGAAAATACAAAAGTATATAGCCTTTCTTTGTTCAGATGCCTTAACTAGGTCACCTTCTATTGCTTTTTTTTTTCACCTCCAAGTATAGGTTTTTAACTTGCTTTTTCTTCCTACTGTTGAATGGTGTAACCCAGTGCTGTGAAGCTCTTCTCAAAGAATGAGCCTAATCCAGGACTAAAATGTGACACAGTGAACTGCCATGAGGGGCAGCAGATGGGGCAGGAAAGAGAGGCTCCCATGGCCTTCTTCACACCTCCCATCACACCTCCCAGCATGCATGGGGCCTCCCAGTTGTCCATCCCATCATGCATCTGTCTAGTATTAGCACTATGGCCGACCTTTCTGTATGCCTCTCACCTCTAACTCTTCTGGAGACAGCCCCTGAGAGTCTGACTTAAGCCCTAGCAGCAAACACAATACTGACTTGAGCTGTGGATGGGGTTGCCCATCAGTGCTTAACAGGCAGCCCTCAGTCAGAGCTCTGGGCCCATAGCTGTTGTCTCCTTTTAGAGAGTAGCCATGTGTCTATTTGGCTGGCAATTTCCCTGAAGCTTCTACCTCCCATATTCCTATCACCAGCCCCCTTGGCAGCTACGGCTTCACCATGATCTCTGAATTTTGCTTATATCATGTCTCCTAACCCCTTTTCCCTCTTTCTTCATACCTCCAATAATTCTTTTCCCAACATCCTCTGTATTAGTTTCCGAGGGCTGCTGTAACAAAATATCACAAACTGAGTGGCTTATAAGAACACAAAGTTATTGCCTCGTAGTTCTGGAGGCTGGGAGTCCAAAATCAGGTTGTTGGCTGTCTTAATTCCTCCTGAAACTTTGAGGGAGAATCTGTTCCATGACTCTCAGAGCTTCTGGTAACCTCAAGCATTCCTTGTCTTGCAGCTGCAGCCTACCTCCATTGTTATGTGGTTATGTGTCATAAGTCTTTCTTTCTGTGTCTCTTTTTCTCTTTTATGGGCACCATTCAGGTATTACCTCTGATATGTTAACCGATAACATCATCAAAGACCCTATTTACCAACAAGGTCACATTCACAGGTACCAGGGGTTAGAATTTCAGCATATCTCTACGGAAGTAGATTGCCTAGTCTTCCTTCCTCAGAAGGAATAATATATATAAGGTGGCATCCCAGTTTGCCTGGGATCCCAGTTTAGGCTTATTGTCCTGGCATTATTATTAATAGTTAATCTTTTCATTCTCAAACATGTTCTGGCTTGTGTGTAAATTATATAGCTAACTTCTTATGGGAAAGGTGTATAATATGATATTTTTCCATTTTCCCTATACAAATATAAAAATTATATGTTGGTTATTTATTCAATAGAGTGTGGACCCAAGGCAACTTCCTCAAGACCCAGTTGGCCATCCCATCATGCATCTGTCTGGTATTAAGCATGCCACAGGCGAAGCCATCTACTGTGATGACATGCCGGCAGTGGACCAGGAACTGTTCTTGACTTTCGTAACAAGTTCAAGAGCTCATGCTAAGATTATGTAAGTAATAACATTTTTACCCAGTAAGGCTGAAATTTGCACTTAAGTCACACTCTTGGCAAAAGGTACCCATTTCTGGTGGCATAGTGCCTCAGGCATTTGACTGCTAACAAGAAGGTTGGCAGTTCAAACCCACCAGCCAGCCACTCCATGGAAGGAAGACTGGGCAATCTATTTCCATAAAGATTTACCATCTCAGAAACCCAAATGAGGTCTCCATGAGTTGGAATTGACTCAATGGCAGTGAGTAAGTGAGTGAATGAAAAAGTAATTCTATGAAGAGGGTAAGCTGTTTGTTGAAGATTTCCAATGTAGACTAGAGGTGAAATGGTATTGAAATGTAAGATTTACTACAATTTGTATCTCCATATGATAACTTCATTGTTCCAGGAATTTTTTTCCCCCAATTTTCTGACAGAAAACTATTGGAGTAGTTCCTTGACATGTCTTACTTCTCTACATCTTATTCTTCAAATAATCATATTCTCAATGCCCATCAGGCTGTGTGGCTGCTCTGAGGAACCCAACGGTGTGTGTTCTCACCTAGGTCTATTGATGTATCAGAAGCTTGCAACCTGCCAGGTGTGGTGGATGTCGTGACCGCAGAACACCTTCATGATGTAAACTCCTTCTGCCTTTTAACCGAACCTGAGAAACTTCTGGCAACAGATGAAGTACTTCATTTTTGCTTTTTTGTTTAAAAAATAATTTCCTCAGTTAATGGTACTTCTTATTTCTTAATGATAGCACCTACTGTAAGCCCATCATAAAGGATTCCAATATTCTTTGAATGTTTTTTAGATGATACCTAATATTCAGTGAATTCAAATATATTCATTTTCAGCATAAGTGGAGAAGTTGACTAGCTATATAAAATTTTTTTGGTGTTTTATATTTTCTGGTAGTAAGATAGTATGCTGCTAACAAGTATGAAAGATAAATGAAGAGAGAATAATGATGACTTTATTTGCTAATCCCTCCCCTGTAAAGCTCTCGCCATTATTCCTGTTTCATTGTGCCCGAAGTTCAAGCCCAAGTTCAAGTAGTATCTTCATCATGAAGTTTTTCCTTATCCTTTAATCCTGAAGTTCTCTTTTCTGCCTCTGAGGTCATTCTGATTCATTCATTCACACTGCCATTCACTCAATAGGCATTTTTTAAAAAGCTCTGGTAGCATAGTGCCTGAGGCGCTTGACTGCTAACCAGAAGGCTGGTGGTTTGAACCCACCAGCCACTCCTCAGAAGGAAGGTTGGGCAATCTACTTCTGTAGTGATATTGCCTTGGCTTATACCCCAAGGAGGGGTTGCTATGAGTCAGGTCCGACTCGACAGCACATAACAACAACAACAACAACCACCCACTATGACAGGTCACTGTATATGGTTATGATCCTGCTCTCATGGAGCTTACAGTCCAGAGGAGAAGATAAAATGGACTTTAATGGACATTCTACCTTGCATTAAGCTTATTTATTTTTATGACTCATGTATTTTCCCTAACTAGTAAAATTACTTGAGAGAGGGTCCGTGTCTGACTCATCTGTAGCCCCCACACTGCTTCCTATGAGCAGAGGAACAGTGATAGCACTGTTGCCGTATGAAAGTTTCAAATCATTAAAACTTTAGCTACTGTGTCTTAAATTATCAGAAAATTCATCAAAGGCATTGTTCAACAGGTTTTCTGCATAAGCTCAAATTTCTCAGTTCAGTGTTTAGTTTCACAATTTGAAATAGTTCCTGCCTCTGGAACTCATTGACTTAGTTGATAAAATTGAAAATTTGATGCCCAAGAGTTCGAACCCAAGCTTGAAACTCCCCCGAGGCGGGCCTGCCTGGCACTGGCAGAAGACAGTGAGAGATAACGGCCTTTGTGTAAATGTTATCCAAACAAGAAAAGCTGCCCAGGGCTGCACAAGAATGCCTGCTTTCTGAGGTGTTCTATGGATTTTGAACGTCTCAGGGGCTCCTGCCATATCAATGTGACAAGTCACAGTGGCAAAACCAGGCGCGACTTTGAAGAACAGAGAACAGAGCCATTGTGAGCAATTGCCTTGGTTGCCTTAATTCTCTTTACAACTGTGTATAGCACTTTGTGCCTTTTGAAAATTGTTTCATTATAGAAAATTCAGGTGTACACAGATAAAGTTGTACAACAACCCCCCATCACCTAGCTTCAATTATTATCTTGCCATTTTTATTTCTTCTATCTTTCCATCCCTTACACACACCCAACAAACACACTTTTTATTTTGCCAGATTAAACTTTTTCAGTACCATTTTTTCTGACTCTAAAACTACTATATATTCTCACACTGAAAAATGCGTAATATTTGGAAGAAGACTTTTTAAAATGACTGAGTTTGAATTGCGATCTTGGTATATAGGTGAGAGAGAAAACTGAACAGTGGTGGTGCTGCCTTCTTCTGCAGCCTATTTTCCCTTTCTCTGCCCTTACTCTAGGGTTGATTCAGGGCTGAATCCTTGTGGATTCAGTGATAGAATTTTCCCCTTCCACGTGGGAGACCTGGGTTCAGTTCCCAGCCAAGGCACCTCATGCACGGCTACCAGCCGTCTGTCGTAAGATACTAAGAGGCTTGTGAGTTGCTGTGATACTGACTAGGTTTCAGCGGAGCTTCCAGAATAGAAAGAAAGAACTGGCAATTGACTTGCAGAAATCAGCCAGCAGATCACAACTGTCTGATTCATAACTTACCGTGAAGATAGTGCAGGCCCAGGCAGCCTTTTGTTCTGTAGTGCATGGGGTCACTATGAGTCAGGGGCCAACTTGACAGCAGCTAACAGCAACAACTCTTAATCCTCTTTCCCAAGAAGCATTCTACTCTGGTCTTTGTTTGAATCCCTTAGGCGCCTATCCCACCTGCAGGTATCATGACGCTGGCTGTCAGCCTCTCTCCTCTGGGAAAGGATGCTTTGTGCATAGTTATGTCTTAGCTAGTTGTTTTTCATGTGTTTTCACAAAACCCCATGTTTCAGCCCAGTTTGTGGTGAGAGACTTGCTCACCAGCAGTGCTGTGTTGTCACACAAGAACTCCCCTTTGCAAGACACAGCTGCTCTCCCTTCCTCACCTCTGTGGGCTGTGACGTCCTGGTCCTCCCTGTCCATCAGAAACACTAAGTGCTGCTTTCCTCAGATGGCCCTGGTCAGTGGTGTGGTGGCCACAGGTGAAACCATGTAACAGGCTCTCCTAAGAAGGTTGGCCTTGAGCAGCCCCATCAGCTTGGTCTGGAGTCTAAGGCTACAGTCTTGAGGCAACATCACTTTTGCCCCTCTTCAGCCAAAAGAGCTCAAAGATCTCAATCCCCTATAGTGCCTGGGGCCAGCAGGCCACCTGTAACAAATGCACTTGCTCTAGCAAAGCCTTTGTTAGCTGAAGCACTGTGGTTATGGTTACATATAGATATGAATGGGTATTTACTGTGTGTCCAGCTCTGTGGTAGGAGGGAGGAAGAAAATGAATCTAGGAGGAGGACCTAGTGCTTGGCCTCTGCTCTTTTGCAGGTATTTTGTGTGGGTCAGCTTATCTGCGCTGTGATTGCGGATTCTGAGGTCCAGGCAAAGCGAGCCGCTAAGCAAGTGAAGATTGTCTACAAAGATTTGGAGCCACTGATCCTAACAATTGAGGTAATGAGTTCTGTACTGGTGCCAATTCAGGGGTCAGAAGAGCACATGGTAGTGGTGTGTCAGTTAACCCTTTCAAGACCAAATTATTTTCTGTTTTGAATTTTTTGCTCAAACCATGTGTTTTCAGTGACGGAAGACATTTTGAATGAAATGGAAAAAATATTTTTTGAGGGTAATATGTATTTTGATACAATTAGAGGACACGTATATTCTAAGGGGTCTCTGGTACTGGGGGTTGGTGGGATGAGGCCTGTTTTTTCAGATTCACACGTTTATACAGGCCCCCACCATAGGGCAGCATGTGCTAAAAGTGGGATACCACCTTCCCACTAAACCCCAGAGGCAGAGAACATAGGTGGGTACTATACATCCCATGGATCACAAAGGGTTAAAATGCTTTGACTTCAGTAACAGGACAATCTGCCTAAAGTGACTCCAAAATGTTAGAGGATTTGTCAACCTCAGACTGTGGTAGTATCAGTAACGTTACCAAAGACCTGGTTTCTTTATGCCTCTCTGCTGCCTGTAGTACAAGCTTTGTTTCAAATTGATTTCCCTGTGGTCATGGATGGCAGCCAGTCACTGTGAGCATTCCTTATTCATGTCCAATGAGCAGGAGAGAACACTTCTGTTCCAATGTTCCCAGCAGGAATCCTGAGACTCAGCCTAATTAGGCCACTTAGGTCACATGTCCACTTATGAATTAATGACTGCCCCAAGGAATGAAGGGGGTATTGGCTACTGCTGAGGGGTCAGATTTCCTTGAAGTTATGGCTTGTGTGGGGAGTAGCTGAGACCTAACAGAGATCTATCCCACCTAAATTTAGAGATCATCTGAAGAATAGATTTGACACATGAAACACTAGTGACCAAACACTAGATGAGTTGTGGGATGACATCAAAACATCGTACATGAAGAAAGAAAAAGGTCATTAGAAAAACAGGAAAGGAAGAAAAGACCAAAATGATGTTAGAAGAGACTCTGAAACTTGCTGTTGAACAGAGAGCAGCTAAAGCAAATGGAAGAATTGAGGAAGTAAAGCAGCTGAACAGAAGATTTCAAAGGCAGCTCGAGAAGACAGAGTATTATAATGATAGCTTCAAAGACCTGGAGTTAGAAAATTAAAAAGGAAGAACACGATCAGCATTTCTCAAGCTGAAAGAACTGAAGGGAAAAAAACAAGCCTTGAGTTGTAGTATTGAAGGAATCTATGGACAAATTATTGAATGAAGCATCAAAAATATGGAAGGAATATATAGAGTCCCTGTACCAAAAAGAATTGGTTGATGTTCAGCTATTTCAGGAGGTAGCACATGATCAAGAATGGATGGTATTGAAGGAAGAAGTCCAAGCTGCACTGAAGGAATTGGCAAAAAAAAGAAAAGAAAACAAGGCTCAGGAAATGACAGAATACCCACTGAGATGTTTCCGCAAACAGACACAGCACTGGAGGAGCTCACTCGTTTATACCAAGAAAACTGGAAGGTAGCTACCTGGCCAGCTGACTAGAATCCACAATCAAAGCCCATGGAAGCAGCAGTCAAGAAATCAAATGGCATATTGCACTGGGCAAATCTGTTGCAGAAGACCTCTTTAAAGTGTTAAAGAGCAAAAATGTCTCTTTAAAGACTAACATGCACCTGACCCAACCCATATGTGTCCCCATACCAAAGAAAGGTAATCCAGCAAAACGAGGAAATTATTGAACATTATCATTAATATCACACACTAGTAAAATTTTGCTGATAATTCAAAAACGGTTGCAACAGTACATCAACAGGGAACTGCTAGAAATTCAAGCCAGATTCAGAAGATGGTGAACAAAAGATATCATTGCTGATGTCAGATGGATCATGCTGAAAGCAAAGAATACCAGAAAGATGTTTACCTGTGTTTATTGACTATACAAAGGCATGTAACTGTGTGGATCATAACAAATTATGGATAACATTGTGAAGAATGGGAATTCCAGAATACTTAATTGTGCTAATGAGGAACCTCGACATAGACCAAGATGCATTCATTTGAACAGAACAAGGGGATACTGCATGGTTTAAAATCAAGAAAAATGTGTATCAGGGTTGTATACTTTCACCATATCTGTTCAATCTGTATGCTGAGCAAATAATGTGAGAAGCTAGACTATATGAAGAATGCAGCATCAGGATTGAAAGATGACTTATTAATAACCTGCAATATGCAGATGACATAATTTTGCTTGCTGAAAGTGAAGAACACTTGAAGCACTTATTGATGAAGAGCAGACTACAACCTTCAGTATGGATTACACCTCAACATAAAGAAAACAAAAACCATCAAAACTGGACCAATCAGTCACATCATGATAAATGGAGAAAAGATTGAAGTTGTCCAGGATTTCCTTTTACTTGGATCCACAATCAACACCCATGGAAACAGCAGTCAGGAAATCAGATGACATATTGCACTGGGAAAACCTGCTACAAAAGACCTCTTTAAAATGGTAAAGAGCAAAGGTGTCACTTTGAAAACTAAGGGGCCCCTGACCCAAGCCAGGGTATTTTCAGTAGCCTCATATGCACGTGAGAGCTGGTCAATGAATAAGGAAGACTGCAGAAGAATTGATGCATTTGAATTAGGGTGCTGGCAAAGCATATTGAATAAACTATAGACTTCCAAAAGAATGACCAAATCTGTCTTGGAAGAAGTACAGCCAGAATGCTCCTTAGAAGTGAGAATGGCCAGACTTGGTCTTTCGTATTTTGGTCACGTTGTCAGGAGGTCCTGGTCCCTGGAGAAGGTATTGTGCTCGATAGAGGGTCAGCAAAAACGAGGAGAACCCTCAATAAGATGGATTGACACAGTGGCTGCAACATTGAGCTCAAGCATAGCAAGTGGTTGTGAGGATGGTGCAGGACCAGGCAGTGTTTCCATTCTGTGGTACACAGGGTCACTGTGAACCAAAACTGACTCAATGGCATTACCAACAACAAATATTGATCTAGGCACTGCTTGGAAGGGGAAGGTAAGAATGCTCAATGGGCAACCCCACAATACCCAAGAAAGGTGGACACATCCTATAACTCTCTGTAGTTATCTGCATCCTACTCCCAGAGTCTCTCAGGTTCACAGTTATATTCTCTATGAAGCAAATAGGAGCTCTGGTAGCGTAGAGCCTAAGGCACTTGACTACTAACCATAAGGCTGGAGGTTCAAACCCACCAGCCACTCCTCGGAAGGAAGGTTGGGCAATCTACTTCCATAGTGATACTGCCTCGAAAACCCAAGGAGGGGTCGCTATGAGTCAGGTCTGACTTCATGGCACATAACAACAACAATGTGAAGCAAATATTGGAGACATATTTTAAATAAGTATGAAAGACTATATTATGCCTGTGGGTTTTTTGTTGACTTAAACCAATTGGAAAATTGCATTTTCTATCCTGTTTTTCGGGAGCTCTGGTAGCATAGTGGCTAAGGCACTTGACTGCTAACCAGACGGCTGGCGGTTCAAACCCACCAGCCACTCCTTGGAAGGAAGATTGGGCGATCTACTTCTGTAGTGATACTGCCTCGGAAACCCAAAGAGGGGTCATTATGAGTCAGATCCAACTCGAGGTCAGTGAGTAGTTTTTTTTCTTTTGGTAATGGTGTTGTTTAAGGAGCTCTGGTGGGGTAGTGGTTAAGGCACTTGGCTATTAACCAAAAGGTCAGTGGTTCAAACCCACCAGCACTGCATGGAAGAAAGATGAGGCAGTCTGCTTCCGTAAAGATTTACAGCCGTAGAAACCCATTGGGGGTTGCTATGAGTCAGAATTGACTTGAAGACAGTGAGTTTGGTATTGAGTTTTTGGAATGGTGTTATTTATTTTCTCATTCACATTTATGATTGAAAGGATTTCTTCACTGGTCGTTCTGCATTAACTAACCTTAGATGTTTGTTTGTTTGGTTGAATCTGTCCCTTCATCCGAGTTAACAGGTATCTACCTTCTAGTCAGTGGTTTACCCCCCTTCCCCATGCACCCCTGGTAACCATCAAAGACTGTTTTCCTTTCTTTCTTTTTTTTGGTGAAACCTTTTTCTTGACTTCTTGCAACCATAGTCTCATGCAATATTTGCCCTTTTGTGATTGACTAATTTCACTCAGCATAATGGCCTCTAAATTCATCCACAGTGTGAGATGTTTCGCAGATTCATCATTGTTCTTTAATGTTGCATTTGTTGTTGTTGTTGTTTGCCGTCGAGTCGGCCCCGACTCATAGCGACCCCTCCTTGGGTTTCCGAGGCAGTATCACTATGGAAGTAGGATTGCCCAACCTTCCTTCCGAGGAGTGGCTGGTGGGTTTGAACCGCCAGCCTTCTGGTGAGCAGTCAAGTGCCTTAGCCACTATGCTACCAGAGCTCCCTAATGTTGCATAGTATTCCATTATGTGTATGTACCACAGTTTGTTGTCTGTTCCTCCTTTGATGGGCATTTAAGTTGTTTCCATCTTTTTGCTACTGTGAGTAATGCTGCAATGAACATGGGTGTGCATGTATCTATTTGTGTCATGAATCTTATTTCTCTAAGATATATACCTAGTAGCAGGATTGCTGGATCATATGGTATTTCTATTACCAGCTTCTTAAGGAAGCACTATATGGTTTTCCATAGTGGCTGCAACCTTTTACTAGCCCACCAGGAGTGTGTGAGTGTTCCAGTCTCTCCATTTTTTGTTTTATTTTATTTTTTGACTTTGCTGTTAGGGTAGGATGCTCTTTTGCATGAATTTCCAGGGTGGCTGGGGAAATGCTGTCCTAGCTCAGGAGGTCTGTTGCCTCAGCTTCCTCACTTTTTGGTTCTCTTTCTAGGAGGCTGTACAACACAATTCCTTTTTCAAGCCAGAAAGGAAACTGGAATATGGAAATGTTGATGAAGTGTTTAAAGTCGTTGATCAAATTCTTGAAGGTAAAACTATTGGAAATGAGAATGGGACAGGAAGCAACCCTCTAAGCCTTCTAAACATGTCTAGTTTAATGCTCCCTTTATCTTCTAGAAATCATCTAACATCCTAGAAGGGGCTTGGGGTGGTATTGTTCCTCAGAAACAAGTATCTCACTCATAAAAACATTTTCCAGTGAGACAGAGTGGGAGGGCAAGGAGGAAGCCTTGCCCATGGTCGCCCAGGCACTGGTCACCTGTACCATCCAGGCCCTGGGTGTTATGGATGTAATCTTCTCCATCACACACACACACACACACACACTCACACACACACACACTTGCTTGGAACCACTCTGCAAGGGGTTTTTATTATCCTACTCTTTCCAATTGAGAAACTGAAGTCAGGGTGGTTAAGAAGCATGACCAAGGTCGTATAACAGCTACTAGGTGACAAAGCTGGTAGTAGAACTGACAGCCTTTTAGGATTTCTAAAACCCATGTTTCTGTCTCTAATGCTTGCTTGTTTTCCTTCCTCCCTCCCTCCCTTCTTCCAGGTGTTTTTCCTTTATGTATACATGTATATAATTGAAATTCAATTTGCCTGTTAGAACACAGTTGATTATAATTTTCCAGGAAAATGATTATAACTTTTTATTTTGCAGTTAATTTAAAATTGCAGAAAAGTTACAGAAACAGTACAAAATCTCCCTTTACCTTTCACCCAGATTCCCCAGATGTTAACATTTTGTTACACTCATTTTATCATTCTCTCACTCTTTTTTTCCCTGACCCATTTGAGATTAATTTGTAGACACACTGCCTCTTTACCTAAATACTTCAATGTTTATTTCGTAAGAACAAGGACATTCTCCTACATGAACATATAGTTATCAAAATAAGACCATTAATGTTGACACAATGCCATTATCTAATCTACAGATATTATTAAGTTTTTCCAATTGTCTCAATAATATTCTTTATAGCAAAAAAAAATATTGTTTATCTTTGTCAGAGTCCCATCCAGGATCATACAGCTTGCCTTTGTTTTCATGACCTTGACTTTTTTAAAGAATACAGGCTAGTTATTTTGTAAAATGTCCCTTGATTTGAGTTTGATGTTTTCTTGTGATTAAATGCAAGGCCCCTCGGTGAACAGAACTAGGAAACACACATACTTATACTTCTGTATCTTTTTTATTTATATAGGAGCTCTGGTGGTGTAGTGCCTAAGGCATTTGACTGTTAATCAGAAGGCTGGAGGTTCAAACCCACCAGCCGTTCCTCAGAAGGAAGGTTGGACAATCTACTTCCATAGTGATACTGCCTTATATGGGAGCTCTGGTGGCATAGTGCCTAAGGCATTTGACTGCTAACCAGAAGGCTGGTGGTTCAAACCCACCAGCCACTCCTGGGAGGAAGACTGGGCAATCTACTTCTGTAGAGATACCACCTTGGAAACCCAAAGATCTGTATAAACCAAAACCAAGCTAGTTGCTGTCAAGTCAATTCTGACTCACAGCAACTCTGTGTCAAAGTAGAACTGTGCTCCATAGATTTTTTAGTAGCTGATTTTCAGAAGTAGATCACCAGATCTCTTTTCTGTGGTGCCTTTGGGTGGATTTGACTGCCATCCTTTCAGTTAGTAGCCTACCACTTAACGGTGCTGCCCAAGGACACACACACACACCTAAAACACACACACGCACACACACATATACATACATAAAACCAGGAATTAATACTGATATTTCCAATTCCAATCCATCCTTGTAGGTTTCATTCTAGGTTTTTCCCTTTCTCTTTTTGTAATTCTCTTTAAGTTGGTTTTTTAGAATTAAAAAAAAATTAAAACAACAACAACAATAGTAAAATTTGTTCTTTTTGATTGTACTTCAATGACTTGACAAATTCAGGGAGTTGGATAATGTCTTAGTTATCTAGTGCTACCATAACAGAAACATCACAAGTGGGTGGCTTTAACAAACAGAAATTTATTTTCTCACAGTTCGGAGGCTGGTAGTCCAAATTCAGGGCACTGGCTGTAGGAGAACACTTTCTCTCTGTGCTGGGGGAAGCTTCTTGTCTCTTTCCAGTTTCTGCTCTGTGACTATCATGGTGGTCTTCACGTGGTCTGGCATCTGTCTTCCGCTGTCTTCTTTCTTGCTTAATCTGCTTCTTTATATTTCAAAAGAGATTGATTTAAGACACACCCTACACTAACACAGCCACATTAACATAACAAAGAAAGACTATTTCCAAGTGGGATTATAACCAGAGGTATAAAACCAAAACTGAACCCACTGTTGTTGAATCTATTCTGAGTCATAGAGACCCCCCACTGGGTTTCCAAGGCTGTAAATCTTTACAGAAGTAGAATGCCTCATCTTCTTCCCATGGAGTAGCTGGTGGGTTTGAACCAATGACCTTCTGGTTAGCAGTCAAATGCCTTGCCCACTACCACACCAGAGGTATAGGGATTAGGTTTTACAACACATATTTTTTGGGGGGCATAGTTAAATCCATAACAGATTAACATCACCACAATCAAAATACAGTTAAATGAGTGTTCACTTGTACAAGCAAATCTTAATCCATGCCTTTTCCTATTCTCCACTTCATCTATGCCATCCACACTGTGGAAGCTGTTTTGTAAGCCTGCCATGACCTTTGATTTACCCAGATGTGTTGCTGGGTGGAGACGGCTGCCTACACCACCTCTCAGGGCAGAGATTTGGCATTGTCTGTCTTTAAGAGAATTTCTAGGATATTGGTCTCTCGTACATGTCAAAAACTACCATTACTCACCCTAACTTTTCTCTCCAATCCTGATCCCAAGTACAGGAAGAGTGCCAAGATATACCATTCCTGAATACACACACACACAATTGTGAAATATATAATCATCACTCCAGTCACTTGAGTTCTAAGCCCATCATTTATCTTTAACTCCATAGCTGTGTTAAATTTGAAACTGGTCGTGGGCTGACTGGATAATGTCATCTGGAAGCTATAGAAAAGACACCTTGTACTGTCACTTGGCGTCCTGCCTTATAAGCTGTGCAACCTTGGCTAAGTACCTCTCAGTGCTCACTTCCTGTATTTTAAAATGATATGGATAAAATAATGTCAGTTCCAAAGATCCATGATAAAAATTGTAAGAGATAATACACGTGTGTTTGGTACAGAGTCTGGTACAGAGCACATAGTAAAAGATCAATAATTGTGAGCTACAATTAGCATAACAGTTAAGCACTCAGCTGCTAACCATGAGGTTAGTAGTTGAAACCCATCCAGCAGCTCCATGGGAGAGAGAATTAGCAGTTTGCTTCCTTAAAGATTACAGCCTAGTAAACCCTCTAGGGCAGTTCTACTGTCCCATAGGGTCACTATGAGTTCAAATCAACTCAACAGTACCTAAAAGCAATAATATTGTCATTAAATTTAGATGTTTCTGTTGTTCTGTAGAAAAGCTTGTCTGTTAGTGAGCTAATGCACTGGCAGGTGTTTATCAAACCCGTGTTTTCTAGTTTTTCTCATTACTAGAATCATGGTAGCATAGTGCCTAAGGCATTTGACTGCTAACCATAAGGCTGGCGGTTCAAACTCACCAGCCACTCCTCGGAAGGAAGATAGGGCAATCTACTTCTGTAGTGATACTGCCTTGGAAACCCAAGGAGGGTCGCTATGAGTCGGGTCTGACTCGACGGCAAATAACAACAACAACAGAATCATGGAGGATGCTTATGAAACCAAGCAGCCCAAGAATCTGTTCTAACAAATATTTAGTAGTGCTGTAGGTGATTCTTAATGATAAGTAAAATGTGGCAATCCCTAGAATGGCAAGTTTGATTTGTAGGAGAGGAGGAGAAAGAGGAAGACCTTCCTAGCATAGCGAGTCTATGACATGAGCATCTTGGAAATATCAATATTAGAGGGGTTCCTCCACTCATGTCTGGTCTTACCATAGTGTGTTTTTGTGTGAGAATTCAGTTGTTGCATTTTTCATTGATATCTTTATAATACTATGTTGTTGTTGTTGTTATTTGCCATAGAGTCGGCCCCAACTCGTAGCGACCCCTCCTTGGGTTTTCGAGGCAGTTATCACTACAGAAGTAGGATTGCCCAACCTATACTATAGATTACTTAATTCATTTAAGTGATTAACGTCTCTTACTTGAATTTTAACTTGTTACTTGATGCTTAAGGAGCTCTGATGGTGCAGTGCCTAAGGCATTTGGCCACTAACTAGAAGGTTGGCGGTTCAAACCCACCAGCCACTCCGCTAAGGAAGACAGAGCAATCTACTTCCTTAAAGATTTATTGCCTTGGAAACCCAGTGGGGGGTCTCTCTGAGTCAGAACTGACTCAATGGCAGTGGGTTTGGTTTTTTGTTTACCTGCCGCATGCCCTATCAATAAGTATAAAAGTGATACAGGAACCTGTAAAAAGAAACTTTATACTAAGTTTTCATTCTCTTGACTCACATGTTTGAGGTACTTTTTTCTTACTCTAGTACTGCTATTTGGTTTAAGAATTTTTGACTATTTGTTTGAAGGAGAGGTAACTAGAGGTGTTAGCCCTAACACTGTATACTTTACAAATAGATGTTCAAAGAGAAAACATATATTTAAAAGATAAAATATGTTTAGCATTGCACCAGGTCTTAAACAGTGTTCCTGAAGGGAGTGCTGTTATTGTTGGTTTGTGTTTTGCCCCCCCGCCCCTCGCCCAATTCAAAGCAGTGGAGGGACGTTAAAGACCACTGGTTACAAATGAGCCAGCTGAGGCCAGACAGGCTCAGTGACCAGGAATCCAGTCTGTGTTTCCTGACTCTGAAGTTAGTGTTCTTTCTTCTACGTTATGCCTCTTGTTCATATTTTTAAAAACTCTGTTAGCTAGATTCTGGGAGAACAGAAGAGCAGTGTTTGTACAGGGAGACTGCTGGGGGTGGGGGAGTGCATGAGAGGGAAGGACACAGGGAAGAGGTAACTACGGGGAGGAAGTGGGAGGGGAGCTGTTGCATTGTGGGGAATTGCAGTTAATGTCATGAGACAAAATGTGTATGAATGGCTGTATGGAAAATGAATTTGCTCTGTAAGCTTTCACCCAAATCACAATAAAAATTTAAAGAAAAAAAAAAATTCTGTTAGCTAGGATGAGCTTCACACTGGAGGTCTCACTCATTGCCATCGAGTTGGACCAGACTCATAGTGACCCCTCCTTGGGTTTCCGAGGCAGTATCACTACGGAAGTAGATTGCCCAACCTTCCTTCCGAGGAGTGGCTGTGGGTTTGAACAAATGCCTTAGGCACTATGCCACCAGAGCTCCTCACACTGGTGGTAGTAGATGACAATCTCTATGGCAGGTTTGCAGGACATCTAAGAAAGCCCTGAAACCAAGATTATTTTCCCCACAAACTGTTGCCTTTTTGGTCTTTAAGGGCCTCTTATTAAAATGGTTTTATGCCTGGAAGAATCACTTCTAACCCTATAATGGGCCAAAATTTTCTCAGGGATTAGTTGATCAAATTGGTTACCAACCAAAGAATTGAGGGCAACACTCTCTATTGAAGAAAGCACACCTTAGAACGGGGGTTGAGAGGCTGGGCAGCACAGTGTAATGGGGTTGTAAACATTGTTTGTCTCACAGGGTTAAGCAGGAAGAGCTCTGTTTATTTATATTCTAGCTTTGCATATTTTAAATGAAGCGGATATTTAACAGAACAAATTTTGAGTGGATAGATGGAATTGCTAATACCACATTCTATGAATTTGAGCCTAATGATAACAAGGGTAGTTTTCCAATGTACAGTCTTTGATAAAAGATTAAATTAAAATCAAGTTTAGTTCTTGAAATTTAAATATTTATACTTCCTAAGTGAGGCAGAATCTGTTCATTCTTCCATACTCTTTCTTTACTCAGGTTTTGGATAAGATAGGAGGCTTATGTCTTTTTCCAGACTCAAATACAAAAGGTTTCCTTAAGAATTTCCCTTAAACAATCGTGTTACTATTATCTGGTACGTTTTTAGTTTTTTAAAAGTGTTGCCTTCCACCTAACATGATAACTGGTCTTTCTTGTATTCTGTTTGTTCTCTGTTTTTCATTTTCCCCCACCCCACCTGGCTGTGAACTCTATTTGTATTTATGAATAGTGTTTTTTAGTGTATCTTTGTATAGATTTTTTACTGCTAGCTTTAGCTGTTAGATTTTATACATATATGAATCACAGTCTGGTATCGCTATTTTACCAGCTTGAGTAAAGTATAGAAACCTTACATTGCCTTTGTTACTTACCACTACATCCTTTCACTCGCTCCATTTATAATATAATTTTCTTAAATACTTCCCCTGAATACATTGAGAACTACACGAAGCAATGTTATAATTTTTGCTTCAACCATCAAGCACAATTTAGAAAGCTTAAGAGAAGAAAAGTCTATTGTATTGACCCATGTTTTTATTCTTTCTATTGTTCATTCTTCCTGGTGTTCCAATATTCCTTCTTTTATCATTTCCTTTCTATTTTAAGAATTTGCTTCAGCCATTCTTTTAGGGTAGATCTGCTGAAGACAAAGGTATCTACTCCATCTTGTCCTGGAACTTGAAATCAGTTGCCACAGTTTCTTGACTCTAGAGAGTGACGCTCCTTTCTCAAGGACTCCATGACTCAGTGTATTACAGACAACAGAACTCTACTTAAAATCTGCAGGTCTGATAAAAGCTAAGCATCATTTCTCATGGCCTTTCTCTGGCAGCCTGCTGTCATAGCAGAAGCACTGCTAGTGGAGTACCTGCTTAATAGGATAACAGCAGAGAGTATGTGACCTTTTCTATCTGACTGCCTCCTTGTCTCAGGTGTATTTTTCTATAACAGGTGAGATACATATGGGAGGTCAAGAACATTTTTATATGGAAACCCAAAGCATGCTTGCGGTTCCCAAAGGAGAGGATCAAGAAATGGATGTCTACGTCTCTACACAGTTTCCCAAATACATTCAGGTAATATGGGACCGTTGTAGAGGGGATATAGCTGAATGGTTTCTGCCAGCAAAACAGACCAAGAGCAACAAAAGGCAAAAATACCATTTCAGAAACTGAAAGTATTGGGTACTAATAGCCATGATCATTTTGGTGCTAGTAGCTATACAATTTCAAAGCTTTTAGGATACTATTATTAAAGCAAGGGCCTTTTGTTTGTGGTTCTGTACTTTTAAAGTTAATTATAGAATCAGCAGATCTCCTTCACTTTACTCTTGCCACTGTTAAAAATACAAAAGAAAAGAGAGGCCACCCTCCAAAATTCATAGGGACTAATGTCTGGTAGCATAATGCCTAAAGCACTTGACTGTCAACCAGGAGGCTGGTGGTTCAAACCCACCATCCACTCCTCAGAAGGAAGGTTGGGCAGTCTATTTCTGTAGTGATACCGCCTCGGAAACCCAAGGAAGGGTCGCTATGAGTTGGGTCCGCCTCAACAGCACATAACAACAACAACAACAACAATGTACATGAAATAGTTAGGTAACAGTATTGGACAGAATGCAACCAAGTACCAAATCAACAAAGTCAAAATTTACATGAGTGTAGGAAATTAGAGAAAGTAGTTTGCTGAGTGCAAGAATCAACCAAGAAGGCCCTTAAAGAAGAAGTCATAAATTTAGATTTACAGTGAGAATGAAATTTGTCCAGATGGTGAGGAAAAGAGAGACCAATTCAACGTAATTCCACAGCAAGATTAATCACCATTCATTCATTCGTTTACGGATCCATCTATGCCTGGAAGAATACTTGCCTATGTCCTGTATGCTAGGCAGAAAACATATAAGCAAGCAAGAGCAAGACAAAGACTACCAAAGTTGGAAGGAGGGTGCCTTCAGGGGAGGCTAGGTATAAGCATCAGAGTGAATAAAAGGGAGAGAGAGTAGAAGAGGGATCTTAATTCAGTGGGGCATTAGGAGCCAGTGGAGTTACCAGAGCAAGCAGGGATGCAGGAATATGGAAAATGGAACCTTTCAGAAAGTAGAGCTCTCAGAAGAACTGGGTGAACTCCATTCCAGTCTTATTCAGCTCCTTGCTCCCTGAGTACCCTTGGGCTCATCACTTCATCATTCTGGGGCTCCTCAGCCATAAAACTGAATTGTTAAATGGTATGACCTCTAAACATTAGGGTGGCAAGGAAGAGAGAGACCTGCATTTGGGAAGACCAACTGGTCAACTTTAGTAGTAATCAAGTGGGAGGTGAGAAGTGCTCATGCTCCGGGGGAGACCTAGGGTAAAAGCCCAATCTGGGAGAGGCATGGAAGGCCACAAAATCTCACTCTTGCAGGAACACTGTCCCTAGGGATTGCTGTACCCTGGTGGTGCAAATGGTTAAGTACTCGGCTGCTAACCAAAAGCTTGGTGGTTGGAACCCATCCAGCAACTCTATGGGAGAAAGACTTGACAGTCTGCTCCAGTAAAGATTAGAGCCAAGAAAACCCAATGGGTCAGTTCTACTCTGTCACATGGGGTCATGGAGTGAAAATCAACTCAACAGCAGACAACAGTAGGAATACCGTACATATAATTTACAGAAAAAATAAAGAAAATTATTAGTACAAATCCATCTTGGTGGCATTGAAAGGCTTATTGTTGTTTTATTCCATTGAGTTGATTCCAAGTCAAGGTTACCCTATAGGAGAGTAGAACTAGTTTCCATAGGGTTTCCAAGGCTGTAATATTTAGTGAAACAGATCATCTGGTCTTTTCTTCTGCTAAGTGGCCAGTGGGTTCAAACTTTTAAGCAGCCCAAGTGCTTGACCACTGTACTACAAGGGCTCCTAACTTTGAAAGTCCTGCTTAATATTAATAATGGTCTTTGTGATATCATTGTAATCAAATACTGCTGAGATCAGTCAGGTACACATTCTACACTGGCAATATGTTCCATCAGCTAACAGTTTGTATCTCATATACAACATTTAAGAATCAAAAAGTACAATGCTATCCCACTCTCATTTCAGAAGACACTTTTTTTTTTTTTTTTATGATTTTGGGTATGACAGTGAGTCACAATTAAATCTTTGCTGAAGATGGGTTGGATTAATGAGAACTGTTAACATTACAGGATATAGTTGCCTCAACCTTGAAGATCCCAGCTAACAAAGTCATGTGCCACGTGAGGCGTGTTGGTGGGGCGTTTGGGGGAAAGGTGACCAAAACTGGCAACTTGGCAGCCATCACGGCATTTGCTGCAAATAAGTAAGTGGAGAATATCTGTTGAATAGCCTAAAAATAAAATGAGACCATATCAAAATTCTTATTACGATTAATGAGGAAGAATGTGGGTTAAGATGATCTAAAATCACATATAATATGCTAATGTACACACAAGCTGCTAGTTTATTATAATTTCTTTATCATATATTGTCGAGCTACCTACTATAAAGTTCAAAATGAGAATCAATTACTGGAAAGAATAACAACAATAAAAATGTGGTAGCACTTGGAGAGTAGGCAAAAACAACCTGAATGGGTGGAAGTTACTTGTCCTTAGCATCTGTTAAACTGACCTTTTAACTACATATATCAATACTTTGATATTGTGTTAAGCGAAAAAAGACCCCAGATTCAAATGGGTTCGATAGAGACCTTTTTATTAAGCCTTAGAAAGGACAAAGATAAAATAAAGACAATCATCCAGGATGAGGGAAACCATCAGCATGTACATACTACAGAAAGCTGAATGGAGTCCTGAGTCATGGCCATAGGACTAATTATATATGATTGCAAACAAAGGAAATCATCACAAAATCATGATTGGTGGCAGATTGATTCTTCATTATTGGAAGCAGGGAAAAGACCATGACTGGGATATGTACATATTTGAAGATTAAGAGTTACAAGATTTGTTTTGGGGCTTGACCGCTTGGCTCTGTGGTGGTCCAGAAATGACCTATGGCTATTTGGCCTGAGTCATAGCTGTAAGGTGGTTACAAGACAACACCAGGACCCCACCCTTAATTTAAAATTAGAAAAGGACACACCTAGGCAAGTTCCCTCGTTCTCTGTGTGAGCATGACCTACTTTCAGCTACCCTTCCTGAAGTTTTTCCCGAATTTGTCTATGCACACCCACATTGCTGGGTCCAAAAGAACTCAAATGGTGTCAGAAAAAACTCAAATGGTGTCTGGACTTATATCAAGACTCAAAATGGAGTTAAGGGTCCCACTGTAGACAATAGCCTTCAACAAATGAAGTCCTTCAGAATTTAAGCTCTGATACAACATATCCATTCATAAGTGTATATATTCACTTGATTTAAATGGATTTTTCCTTTTGTTATGCTTTATTTACTTATATTGCCACTTTCCTTTCAGGATCTCAAAATATTATTATAGTAAATTGTTTTTGAAGTAGGCATACCTAAAACCAAAAAGCCCATTGCCATTGAGTTAATTCCAACTAATAGCGACCCTATAGGACAGAGGAGAACTGCCCCATAGTGTTTCCAAGGCTGTGTGTTTGAACCACCAACCTTTTGTTTAGCAGCCGAATACCTTAACCATTGCACACCTAGATAGCTTAACTTCTTTTCTGAATAATGTAGGCTGGTTCTTCTAAGCCCAGGAAGGAGAAAGACCTTGATTCCAGACCTGTCCTCCCAAGGGGCTTTTATTTGCCAATCAGACCAGACCACACCTGAGTTCACCCATTCATAACGACTCTACAACCTGGCCTCTGGAATGTTTGCCTGTATCAGAGGTTGTTATCCCAGTGGAAAGTACCCCAAAGCCATACTCTGGAGCATCTGGCACCCAAGAGCCTCTCCCCGACTAGGAAATGTCCAGCGTTGTGCCCTGACCCAAAGAGAGGGAAGGCCACAGTGTATGCCTGAGATCAGCACAGCCTATAGGTGAGGAGCTCTCAGATACTACTGGTGACAGAGTTTACCTCTTCTGCTGTTTTAGACTCGGTCGTGCAGTCCGTTGCATTCTGGAACGAGGAGAAGACATGTTAATAACAGGCGGGCGCCACCCTTACCTTGGAAAGTACAAAGTGAGTAAAAGAAGCAGGAAAAAGCATTTACATTGTACATATAACATTCCATAAATGCAGAGTGCTAGTAAACCAAAAGTTTTGGCTACTCTCTAGTATTGCATAACAATTAGCAAATCAACACATTGTGCTTCTGTTTAACTTCCTATTTCTTGTTCTGATTGTTTGATTACTGGCTGGCTCAACAAAGCATTTCTGCTGTTTTCAAAGATGTCAGTTTATGAGTAAGCACTAGCTGCAACTGGCTGCTATGACGTGAATAATTGGAAAATACATGCATATATGTGTCCGTGAAAGTAGATCTGATAACCAAGCATACTAATTACCACATATAAAAGAATTGAAAATAAGAGTAATTCCTATAACAATAGTGTTATGTGAAATTGCAATTAGTTGCAAGTAGGTTCTTCCTTTTTCAATATGTCAAGGATATGTTTGTAAAAAATGTCCCAGAAATTTCTAGAAAAATTCTAAAGTAGAAAATAATTATTTTTTATTTATTTATTTTTTTGGCTGTATGAGATATAATTTTGCTACTGTATTTGTCAGGATGGACTAACTGCTCTAACAAACCAAAAACTCTCAGGAACTTAAGCCTTTATTACGTTATTTCTTGCTCAAATGACAACCTAGTGTAATCAGTGGGAATTAGGAGGAAGGAGGACTCTACTCTGCAAGGTTATTCAGGGACTCAAGCTTTTCCCATCTAGCGGCACCACCATCTCCTCGGCTGCATTGTCCAACACTATAGCCAGTAGGCACATGTGGCTATTTAAATTTACATTAACTAAAATAAATAAAATGTCACTTCCTCAGTTGCCCTAGCTACATTTTAAGGGCTCAGTAACCACGTGGTTACTATATTGGACAGTGCAGAAAAAGAACATTGCCATCATCACAGAGAGTTCTGTTGGACAGCACTGCCCTAGTACTTCCACTGGATCTTTAGCTCCCTAAAGATCTCTAGCGGCACCAAATGCTGATGAAAATGTTGGCTGAATTGGGCTCTCTGAGAAAAGTGTGCAGAGTACATTAGCAGTGAGCCACCAGGTTTGGGAGATTGGAAATGATCGGCAGCTTTAGGGAGAAGATTTCAGTAGAAATATAAGGATGGGAGCCAGAATTCAAGGAGCTAAGGGAGCTTGGTAGCATAGTGGCTAAGGCACTTGACTGCTAACCAGAAGGCTGGTGGTTCAAACACACCAGCCACTCCTCGGAATGAAGATGGGGCAATCTAATTCCGTAGTGATACTGCCTCAGAAACTCAAGGAGGGGTTGCTATGAGTCAGGTCTGACTCGATGGCACATAACAACAACAACATGGAAAGACTGAAAGGCCACCCGTGAAGTTATACACTTGATTTGCTGTCGGAGGAAAGGGCTTGACTGAGCAGCAGGTGCAGACAGAACAAAGGATTGTTTGTTTGTTTGCTTTCCTTCTATGTCTTTCTCCACCTTTCCTTTTTCAAACGACCAAAGGGCTTCCGAAATTTGAAAGGAAACAGTCTTGGAGAGAGTACATATAGAATATAAATTATGTTTTCTAGTTTTAAAGTGAACATATTCTCTTTCTGAATGGGACCAAAAGTAATGTGTAAAGGGCTCACATGGAACAAATAAATGTTAGAGACACTTGTCCCCAGTGCCATTATCAAAGGCCAGTTCTCTTTCCCCAGGTTGGATTCATGAATGATGGCAGAATCTTGGCCCTGGATGTGGTGCATTATAGCAATGGAGGAGCCTCCTTGGATGAGTCATTATTTGTAAGTGTTTTAAGAAGCAAATTCACATTCTGGAAAGAGTGTTGTGCAAAATGATTTCATTGGAAAAATATTCAATGGTTAATATTTAATTATAAAAGCATAAACAACATCATTGTAGGGATAGTGATGTGTTACTTACTAGTGCTTACAGAGTGAGCCCAGAGATCTGACCAAGTCTGCATGTGTGTTACCTCCACACTTCCCATGCTTATAGTACTTTTCTTGGATGCCAGCATTAGACCAGACTTTCCCAACTGTTCTGGTTACCTAGTGCTCTGACAAGAATATCCCACAAATGGGATGGCCTTAACAAACAGTAGTTTATTCTCTTACAGTTTGGAGGCTTTAAGTCCAAGTTCAAAGTGCCAGGCTCTAGGGGATGGGCAAAAGCCCCTCAGCCTTGGGCTTCAGCTCTGCCTCCAGCTCCCGGCCCACTGAAGTTAGAGACTTTTCTTCACTCAGACAGCTGCTGGCTGCTGAGGCTGCCAAGCCCAACGTTGACAAGTAAAAAGGCACAGTCCCGATATTACCAAATCACATGGCAGGCCATTAATTCAAGTCCATTTTAAGTCCCAAGGTTGGCAGAGCATGGCAGGCTGCTGAACAATGACACAGCTGCAGGCAGGGTTCAAGGTGCCATAAGCTAGAGACTATCCCCAAAGCTTCTCCTTATATACAGAAGCTGACCACATCCCAAAGGCAGCTACTTACTGCTTGTGGTAGATCCCACCATGGAGTTGATTGCCAGTCTCATCATGGGGAATAACTACCACCAGCTGCCCAGCCACTCAACCAGGCCCAGCCAAGTTGACATACAAACTGAACTACCACACCAACCTTGACCCTATTTATACTTTGGATGGTTAGCAGCATCCTTTGTTTCTACCTAGTAGATGTTGATAGTCCTGCCCCCTTACCCCTACACAAGTCTTTACAACCAAGAATGTCTCCATTGCCAGATGTTCCCTGGGAGGCAAAATCACCTCTGATTGAGAACCATTGCATTAGACCAAAGACCAAGAGTGTTTTGTTTTCTCTTTTTCTAGAATATTTTATTCATTATGTTCCATAGACTCAATGCTTTGTTGCTATAAATTTTCAGAGGCCTTTGGAAATGTTGGAACCTGAATTAAAAAGTATTGGCTCTAAAATTTGAGAATGAAAAATAGTGATTTCAAAAGAAAAATTACACAAATCCTTTAAAATTATTTTACAGCAAAATATATTTAATTGGGGGCATGGGTATATTTTATTAGCATGTTTGAGGTGATGTAGGGTGAGGGTGTCATTTTGATCTGAAGTCTCAAGATGGTCAAACAAGTACGGAAAGATGAAAGGTCTTATTTACATCCACTCTGGATCTCTCCAGGTGATAGAAATGGGAATTTTGAAAATGGACAATGCTTACAAGTTTCCCAACCTGCGCTGCCGGGCCCGGGCATGCCGAACCAACCTTCCATCCAACACAGCTTTGCGTGGGTTTGGCTTTCCTCAGGTGGGACTGATTACTGAATCCTGCATCACAGAAGTGGCAGCCAAATGTGGTTTGTCCCCTGAGAAGGTAATACTAAATTTGCCTGACCTCCAAAAGACATCAGGTTTCAGAGTTGGGAGGGCTTTTGAGGGTCATTAAAGTTGAGGAATTTAACATTCAGGAAAGCTAATGATTTGCCCAAGATAACAAGCTAACTAGTTAATACAGAGCCAGGCCTCCAACATTCAGTGATCCTTATTTTAGACTCCTGAAAAATCTTGAAGACAAAGGACATTGAAGAACATTGGACTCTAATGCATTTACTGAAGAATCTTCATTGGTTGAAGATACAATTGCTACCAACAAGTTCTAGCAAACCCATCTTTCCTTAAAAACATCTCAGTCGGCTGTTACAAAGTTTTAGTCATTTCAGTTACTGAAATGGTCTCCTTCCAGTTCTTTAAATTTGAATCTCAACTCCATTCATTAATGTGACCTCTTTTCCTCCCCCTGCCTCTCTTCCACCCCAGAATCCTGGAGAGGAGCTGGAGTGGGGAGACCTGGTGTGCTCCCTCGTCCCCTCTCATCCTCTCCTGTCCCTTCTGTGGTAGTATTGGGGCTGGGAGAAAGAGGAGGACCAGGAGAAACTTTACAGTATCAGAGCCAGGGCTAAAACTCAAACTGTTGGACGTCATGGATCATTTTCTTGACCACTACTTTGTTTTCAATTTGGTTCAGTTCAACAAAGATTTATTAAAGTGAACTTTAGTAAGTTCAGGTTTTCAGAAGCAGAGTATGGACTTAAAACAGATGTTGGATGTATCTTAACAGCAAAGATGAGCTCTATCCCAAAGACCTCCGGCAACCCCAAATGCAGCTCAGAGTTGTGATTGAATTGCACCCTCTGAGGAAAGTATGCATGTGACTTCTTCCCACGTAACCTCTCTACATCTTCTTGGTTAGATGTAGCCACTCCTTGAGTATGTTGTCCATGGGCCTCATTGCTGCTGGCTCTCCCTACAATTGCCAGTCCTCTTGGAGGGTCAGTTATCTCCAGCTGATCCTCAGCTGACATCTCATGCAGTGTTCCTCTGATGCCAACTTTGCCCTATGCCACAGTCATCCTTGGCAAGCCCTGGCCCCAACTCATCGACCTTCTTTCCCCTCAACTTTGCAGTCTGTGGTCATGAGCAAGAACCATATTTTTTGTCTCTTGAACTTGGGGGTAGAGTAGCCTTTGCCACTTCCTTCCTGGAAAGCCCATCACAGCCTATCTCTCTGTAGTGTATTTCATAGCATCAGGGAGGAGAATTGGATGAAGACTTCCCTTAATCCCAAGGAAGTTTAGAGAGAGAAGAAACCCATCCAAACCCATTGCTGTAAATTCCACTTACTGTGGCCCTAAAGAACAGAGTAGAACTGCCCCATACGGTTTCCATGGCTTTAATCTTAGTGGAAGCAGACTGCCACATCTTTCCCCCGTGGAGCAGCTGATAGGCTCGAACTGCCAACCTTTTGGTTAGCAGCAGAGCATTTACCCACTGTGCCAGCAGCAGGGCTCCTAGGGAGAGAGTAAAACCACTGCCGTTGCATCAATTCTGAGTCATAGTGACCCCCACTGGGTTTCTGAGGCAATAAATCTTTACAGAAGTAAATTGCCCCATCTTCCTTCCACAGAGTGGCTGGTGGGTTTGAACCACCAGCCTTCTGGTTAGCAGTCAAATGCCTTAGGCAAGGAAACAATGTTGTTGTTGTTGTTGTTACGTGCCATCAGGTCAGACCTGACTCATAGCAACCCCTCCTTGGGTTTCCAAGGCAGTAACACTACAGAAGTAGATTGTCCAACCTTCCTTCTGAAGAGTGGCTGGTGGGTTTGAACCACCAGCCTTCTGTTTAGCAGTCAGGTGCCTTAGGCACTATGCTACCAGAGGTCTGAGGAAAACAATAGCCACCTTAAAAATACTACCTTCCCCAAAATGACTACAGTGTACTAATTCCCAGTTTTCCTCTTATATTGACAAAAAAAGGCTTTTTTAGGTGATGGGAGGGGGTTGTGTATTTGTAATGACCCCATCAGCAAGCTTAGTGAGGTAACTGGCCACAACTGCTGAGAATTTTCTCTCCTGAGAATGTGAGGTACTTGGCACTTTTGATTCTCAGCTGGGGGCTTTGGTCATCAATTCTTGGAATACAGGAAAAACTCCACTCAGTGCTTCAGGCATTCTGGGATGGAATCTTTTAATTTGTTATTGATCCTAGATATAGGTTATATTTAAACACACTTTCGTATGTTCTTATTTTGAAAGTGACTGCTGTTATCTTGCCACCAAACCAAAAAAAAAAAAAAAAAAAAACAACCCATTGCCATCAAGTTGATTCCGACTCATAGGAACCCTATAGAATAGAGTAGAACTGCCCCCATAAGGTTTCCAAGGCTGTAAATCTTTATGGAATCAGACTGCCTTATCTTTCTCCCGTGGAGTGGCTGGTGGGTTTGAATTGCTAATCTTCTGGTTAACAGCTAAATGCTTTAACCACTGAGCTACCACAGCTCCTTATCTTCTCATATTGTTAGGTGCCTTCGAGTCGTCTCCAACTCATGGCGACCCCCCCTTGGGTTTCCTGAGGTGGTATCTCTGTGGAACTAGATTGCCCAACCTTCCTTCCAAGGAGTATCTTCTCATAGCATCTCAATATTCCAAATCATGTAGCCTGGAAATCAAGCTCAGGCTTTCCTTTCAAGAGATATTCACAGTCCCAACTAGAATTATGGGTCTATGGTATGCCTGGACTGGGCTGAATTATATAAGGAATATAATAAGGAAAGGACTCCTTCCTTTGAATTTATACAAGAACAGCATAGAGAGCAAATAAGTTTGTAATTACATGTTTAATAGATGCTCTAGAGGTGGAAGAGAAGAATATGCAGTGGTCATTGGGAAAGGCTGCAACAAGGAGTAAGTAGAGTTCATTTTGGGTCTTACAGGATAAGCAAAATTTGAATCAGAATATAGGGACAGTGGACGGAAGAGATGCTGATTTTTCTCCCTTTTAATTTTCTTTTGAAGGTCCGAACAATAAATATGTACAAAGAAATTGATCAAACACCCTACAAACAAGAGATTGATGCTAAGAACCTGATCCAGTGTTGGAGGGAATGTATGTCCATGTCTTCTTTCTCCCTGAGGAAAGGGGCTGTGGAAAAATTCAATGCAGAGAATTATTGGAAGAAGAAAGGACTGGCCATCGTCCCTCTAAAATTTCCTGTTGGTGTGGGGTCACTTGCTGATGGTCAGGTAAGTTCTCCAAAAACATGTAGGAATGCCACCAGGAAGAGATCCAGACAAAACCAAAGATGTTCAGGAAAGTTTCTATTAAATTGGATTAGCCAAATGGTTGCTGTGCCCAGTTGTTCAATTTCAACAAAGCTGGGTTTACTCCAGAGGAGGCAAGAGACCCTCTGCTCACATGCACAGCTTTGATAAAATGTTCTTTCTAGGAAATCAAGGACTCTATTTTCAGCCTTGGCATTAATTAGCTGAGTCACTTGTTCTGGTCTTTGGGCCCCAAATTGCTCATCTGCAAAGAGCGTAGTACTGGATGACCTCCTGGGCTTCTATCCCTGTTACTCTATGACTCTCTTGCTGGACCATGAAACAGAAATGCGAAGGTGCAAGGCATATGGATGCCCCCCTTACGCCCCCCCACCACACACTTTTTGGTGGATTTCTCTTGTTAGGTGTGAGATTGGTACTGACTCATAGTGACCCTATGTCCAACAGAATGAAGCACTGCCTGGTCCTGCCTCATCAGCACAATTGTTGCTACTTTTGAGCCCATTGTTGTACCCACCATGTCAGTCCATCTCATTGAGGAGCCTCTTCTTTTTTGTTTACCTGGTAGTTCAAACCCACCAGCAATTCTTCAGAAGAAAGGTTGGGCAATCTACTTGCGTAGTGATACCACCTTGGAAACCCAAGGAGGGATCACTATGAGTTGGATCCAACTCCACGGCAGTATGTTGTGTTATTATTGTGTTTCTACTTAACCAAGTGTGATGTCCTTTTCTAGAGATGGCCCACCCTGGTAACATGTTCAGAGTACATGAGGTGAAGTCTCATCATCCTCACTTGTAAGGAGCATTCTGGCTATACTTCTTCCAAGACAGATTTGTTAGTGCTTCTGGCTGTCCATGGTATATTCAATATGGTAGTGTAGTGCCTAAGGCATTTGACTGCTAACCAGAAGGCTGGTGGTTCAAACCCACCAACCACTCCTTGGAAGGAAGATTGGGCAATCTACTTCCATAGAGATACTACTGCCTCAAAAACCCAAGGAGGGGTCTCTGTGAGCTGAATCAACTCCACAGCAGTGAGTTGCCAACACCCTAATTCAAAAGCTTCAATTCTCCTTAGGTCTTCCTTATTCATTATCCAGCTTTCACATGCATATGAAGCAATTGAAAATACTATGGTTTGGGTAAGGTGCATTCAGTCCTCAAAGTAATATATTTGCTTTGAAACACTTTAAAGAAGTCTTTTGCAGCAGATTTGCCCAGTGCAATATGTCATTTGATTTCTAGACTGTTGCTTCCATGGACATTGATTGTGGATCCAAGTAAAATGAAATCCTTGATAACTTCAATATTTTCTCTGTTTATCATGATGTTGCTTATTGGTCCAGTTGCGAGGATTTTTGTTTTCTTTTTGTTGAGGTATAATCCATACTGAAGGCTCTAGTCTTTGATCTTCATCAATAAGTCTTTCACTTCCTTCTTGCTTTCAGCAAGCAAGGTTATGTCATCTGCATATTGCAGGGCGTTTATGCGTCTTCCTCCAGTCCTGATGCCACGTTCTGCTTCATGTAGTCCAGTTTTACTCTACTCCAATTGAGGGAGGCAGAACAGGTGTCTTGAGTGATGTCAGAACAGGGATAAATGGAAGGTGAAGCTGTGAGTGGTGCCTGAGTGTGTATGTTGTGGAAGGAGCAGAGGAACCAGAGAAAGTGAGTAGAATGGTCCCTTCCTCTGTTTCCCCATTCATTGGTCTAACTAGCCTGGGTCAGCTTTGGTGTGATCACATTTTGTTAGAACATTTGCATGTGGCTGTGATTGTAGGCAGGTTCTTAGCTAAAGGAGGATTATAACCACACAAGTGGCAACCTTCTCACTCCTTCCCTGTTTACAATGGCAAAGAGAAACACAGAGTCATTTAGTCATCTGCTCACAAATGACTTAGCTAAGGAAGGCAGTCAATAGCTTGTGGTTGAAGAATAAAGGCAAACACAGAAAGGGAGAGGGGAAATGGTACCACTGGGAACAGGGTTTGCCAACAGTGAATCTTAGTTTTCAATTTTTGGGTCAACTGATTAGCTGGCAGCTAGCAAAGAGACAGTCTTGGCCATCTGTCCTTGAGAAAACTGCCAGGACAACAGAAAATAGTCCCCAGTGCTTATGAATCTTCTGGAAATTCTTGAGTTTAACAGCTATTGCTTAACATCCAGCCTCCAGGTCTGCCTCATGTACCTCACCAGAGTTTCTCAGTAAGTAGCTAAAAAAATAATGGTAATTACTGAGCACACACTATGTTATAAGCCCTACAGAGTTTATTCAACCTCAGGTTCATGCAACCCTCAGAGCAAGCTATAAGTTTTATATCTTCATTGTATACTTGAGAAAACTGAGACTCAGAGAACATAAATAGTGTGCCCAAAAGCTCACATCTGGGGAAATGTGGGACCAAGGCTAGACTCTGGCCTGATTGGCTCCAGAACTATGCTTTCTCAATGACAACAAGCTCCTTCCCCAAAGCACCTGGGGTGGAATTCAGCTCAGCTAAGAAAATCTACGGGAGCTCTGGTAGCATAGTGGCTAAGACACTTGCCTGCTAACCAGACGGCTGGCGGTTCAAACCCACCAGCCACTCCTCGGAAGGAAGGTTGGGCAATCCTACTTCCGTAGTGATACTGCCTCGGAAACCCAAGGAGGGGTCGCTATGAGTCGGTGGTGACTCGACGGCACACAACAACAACAACAACAGGAAAATCTACACAACAACTGGCAGTATAAATTCATTCTCGAAGGCTACAGGGATGTGCTTGTCTGGGAAGCAGACCAGCTTCTGTGCTTAAAAGATTTCCTTAGGGGTTGAATCAGGGAGTTGAGATCAATCAAGTTGCATCCTGGTAACCATGTACTAAAATAATATCCTGCAGCAAACCAAACAGAGGAGGGAACTAGGAGTGAGGTTTGAGTGCCTTTGTGTAGACACTGGGCGACTTGTAATCTCCCACTTGATTTAACGCTTATGTCATCCTTGTTGGGTTATTATCTCTGTTTCATAGAAGAGAAATGAAAACACTGGTGGTTCAGTGGTTGAGTTTTGCCTTCCATGTATGAGACCTCGGATCAATTCCTTGCCAATCCACTGCGTGCCCAGCAGCCAGCTGTCTGTCAGTGGAGCCTTGTGTGTGGCTATGATACTGAACCAGTTTAAGCGGAGCTTCCAGACTAAGATGGAATAGGAAGAAAGAACTGGCGGTTTACTTCCTAAATGAGCCAGGGAAAACCCTGTGGCTTACAGTAGTCCAATCCACAACAAAACACGACCATGCAGTGTTTTATTCAGTTGTGCATGGGGTCACCATGAGTTGGGGGTCCAACTCAATGGCAGCTAACAGCAACAACATAAAAGGAATGACTGAAGCCCACAGAGACTCACTCTCCTGCCCAAGGACATCCAGCTAGTGAGTGATTTGACCTCCAGGCTGTCTGACCACAGTCCCATGTGTCTGCATCATCCTACACTGCCTCCCTGAATAGAAGCAGCTCTGGTGCTCCTGACAGTCTAGAGGGTCAAACGCCTCCCCGACTTCATTAATTTCTGGACTGTGAACACTGAAGGGCACAGAGACTATCTAATCCACCTCTGTGCTTCCAGTGCCTTCATACAATGCCTGGCACAGAATAGAAACTCAGCTGTTTGAATGAGTGGGACCTTTGGGAAATACGTGGGATTAAAGCAAACTTTTCAACAATACCAGCATTCATTGCTTGAAGACTTAAATTTCTCCTGCTAAGACCACTATTTATACTGGAGAACCATCTGTTCCAGCGCTCCAGTTGTGCTGATTCTGTAGATAAAGCTTTGTGGAATTATCTTTTGTGGTGTTGACAATGAACCATCCAGTGGTGCCACTTAATGAACCAAATTTGACATTTTCAATGGCCCAAGGAGATTGCAGCGCTGCATGGAACAAATTACTCAGCAGTCTTTAATAGACATGCTGCCCTGGGCATTCAGGCAGAGTGCTGTTGCCAGGGGCTCGTGCAATATAGGAAATGCCACAATTCACTGGAATCATAGCTCGATCGCATGTGCCAAGTTGAACTACAAATCACACCCACACTTCTCTTGCTGAGCCAAGAAGACTAAATACAGAGTCTACAAGCTTAATAAAGGGGTCAGATGGCTATGCTAGTACAAATTTAATTGTCATTTACTGAGCACCTACACGGGAGCACTTTGTTGCATTCTAAGAGATGCCTTAGGACACGGTCCTTCTGTCAGGGGCTCACATCTAGAAGAATACAATGAAGTACAAAAGAATGGAGCCCAGGGGCATCTCGTGTTCTGGTATCACCTAGTGTCTGATGCAGGACAACCAGCTCTAGACTCTCAGTGGCAGATGCCACTCGTTATCTTCATTATTTGGAAAATAATTACCAGGAGAACAAGATTGTGTTTCCAGGAGTGATGAGTTAATAGACATTAAAAGACCCTCTGCTGCTTCTTCCCAGGGCTCTTGGCATGATAATCATGGCTACTGTGACTACTTGAAGATTCCAATCTCCTCCCATGCGTGGGGAATGTGCCTTTTTAATCAGAGAAAGGGTTTCCATTTGAGGCAATAGTGCTTTAATGGTACAATTCTTGCTCTTCACATGAGAGACCTGGGTTCAATTACTGGTCTGTCAGTGGAAGCTTGCTTGTTGCTATGATGCTAAACAGGTTTCAACAGAGCTTCCAGATTAACCTGGAATGGGAAGAGAGGCCTGATGATCTACTTCTGAAAATCAGCCGGTGAAAACCCTATGGATCACAAGGGTCCAACCAGTAACTGATCTTGCAGATGGACGCAGGACTGTATAGTGTTTCATTCCGTTGTTCCTGGGGTCACCATGGGCCATTTCAAGGGCAGCGAATAGCAACAACAATGCCCCATTTCATAGTACATTCCTAATTTACACCTGCTGGCAGCTAGAGTCTGCTTTCATTCTTAAAAATGTAAAGGCTTTTGCTTGTCATTCACTAAGGTAATGTGAACCTTTGGATACCAATAAAGAGGCAGGCAGTTCTCCAACTGTGGTTCACAACCCACTGGTAGTTGGGAAGGTCCTACTTCTGGGCAGAGAATTGACCTGGGAATCAGTCCTTTCCTTGGGTTAATTGCATGTGATTTACCTGCAATTCCATCAGCTTCCACTTATGACCGGATTTATGCAGTGAGTTTGGTTTGGACTTACAGCTAATCTAGGTGGGCAATTAAGGCCTAATAACATTTTATGTTTATTAAGTGAAACTAATTTTTTGCCAAAATGTTCTGAAGACTCTGTCTTTACAAATTACAGAATATCATGCCACTTTGCCTAGGATTTAGATATGAAGGAGCGTACCTGACAGAGGGTTAGCTTAAGTGACTTTCCGTTGGCCCCAAACACATCTAGGAAGTTGGCATTTTTCCAGCTGAACGACTGCAAAGGCAGGCTTTGCAGGGCTGCCCAGACCACCATGGAATCATGAGAAGCATTTTCTCTCAGACCATCTGCTGTTGATATTTCTCAAAGCAAAGACTGAAAGCAAAGACACCATCCTTGTTTTCTGCAGGGCTTTGAACTAGTTCTTCCCAGTTCACTCAAAGGCACCAGGGATAGCAATCAAATCTCTTGACAAGCAGAGTCAGAAACAACAGTGCTAGACTCAAAGATGGCAGCCAATTGTATCGCTTTGAATGTTTATTGTTCTCCACAGTCCTGGCAGTAATCCAGTCTCCTGCATTAGGTACCTGAAAGGGCTCACTACAACTCTTCTGAGTCTCCCATTCCAGGGTACGATCTGTAATTTTTCCCATTCTGGTTATTGGTCAAATATACCCTCATTTTATAAATTTAGGTTTATTCTGATTTGGCTGCATTGGCCATGACTGAAATGATTCAGACCAGTTTGAAGCCCTGGTTATCTGCTGTCCCTTGGGATCTTTCCATACCCCCTATTAGCACGGGCAGACTTGCAAGAAGGCACATCCTTATTAATTGTAAAACATGTTTATCTTAGAGTCTGAGTGTTTCTGATTACCAGGTGATTTTTATTCTATGTTATCAGTTTGGCTCCTTCTGGATCCCTGTGGGGAGCTACAGTTAGATAAGACTGCTTCCAAGTTCTCATCTAATTCTGAAACTCAGTAATTTGGTGTCAGGATGATTGAGGGTGGGCTTGGCTCATTTTGCAGCAAATAAATAAATAAATAAAAATAACTCTTGTTGAAGGTCTCTCTGTCCTATGCTTATGTGGACTTTTAACTTTTGTACAACACACCTATGGGAATATGTGTACACACAGTTATCCTCCCTCTTCCCCAGCCTGTTTATCCTTACTTTTGCATTTTAAAACTGGCCCCCTCCTCCCCAGAGAAAGAAGCCTAGAATGTTGCTGAACCCCAGGTGAGGGGGTCGTTAAAGGCACCAGTGTGCTGAAATGTTTTACTTAGGAAACAATAACATAAGGAATGTACTCAAGACCATCCAGGGATAATTTGGGCTTTTGGAGGCAACCATGAGGCAGCACTGTCCTGGCCCTGCTCAGCCTGCTCAGTGCTCTCATGGCAGTGGGCAAAGGGTTTCTGTGTGTTTCTTGGCTGAGGGTAGGAGGTAAAAAGGAAGGGATCATTTCCAAGGAAAGTGTTTTAATTGATATGATGTTTGATGATATCATCAAAAAGATCATAAGAATTGTTTTCATCTTTTCTGCTTAGGCTGCTGCACTCGTTCACATTTACCTAGATGGGTCTGTGCTGGTGACTCATGGTGGAATTGAAATGGGGCAAGGGGTCCACACTAAAATGATTCAGGTAAGAATGCAAATAATTGGATTAAGCTGGAAGTGTATTTGTAGATATGTATGAGAGAGAACCTATAACTGTATGTTTTATGAAGTAAAAAAGAAGATAGAAGATATGAGTTTTGACAACTTAAGCTGCTAAGCTATTAGCAGAAACTGGTAAACATGCCAGTTTTGTAACTGAACCTCCCCCAAAAATGTGGCCTAAGAGTCTTGGGTTGTTTTATTGCTAAAGAAAAGTGTGTTTATTTACTGCTTTTCTTTGGATATACTAACAAGTAGGTTTTCCTTTTGAGCATTGGCTGGGCAGTAAAAAGGTGTATAAATTCTGATGCTTGTGTTATTTCTTGCTTTTTTTTATACTGAGGACTAGGAGCAATTGATAATATAAAATACATCTGATATTTCTAACCAAACTTTATCACTTTTGTTTTGGTTTACCTGTTTTAGATTAATTGTTAGCTAATGTTTATGTTTTTCTAATCATAAAAGTAATATTATAGATTACAAAAGCTTTTAGAAGAGGTAGAAAAATTTAAAGAAAAGGAAAAAGACTGTACACAATTCTACCACTTAGCAATAATCATTGTTTGGGAGTAATAATCACCATTGCTATGTCTGTTTTCCTTTTCCAAAAAGTCACCAACATGCTGTTTATATAATTTGTAGCCTATTTTGTTTTTCATTTTTTCATGTATACCTATATAAAGTGAGCACTTTCTCCTGTCATTAAGAATTCTTTGCAATCTTGATTTTTAGTGGATGTGGGTATGTATAATCTATTTAGCCATTCCCTGACTGTTGAACACATCATTGAATATTCTTGTACATAAAACTATGATTGTATCAATGATTATTTTCTTAAAATACATTCCTAGAATTACTAGGTCTCAGGGTGTGAGACACAGGGTGTGACACATATTATCAAATTATTTTTCAGACAGTATCTATCTCATTACACCACTAACAATGAATATTGTCTTAGGCTAGGTTCTCCAGGGGAGCAAAACCAGTGACGCACACATATAAATATACATGTTGTTGTTATGTGCCATCGAGTCAGACCCAACTCATAGTGACCCCCTCCTTGGGTTTCTGAGGCAGTATCACTACGGAAGTAGATTGCCCAACTTTCCTTCCGAGGAGTGGCTGGTGGGTTTGAACCACCAGCCTTCTGATTAGCAGTCAAGTGCCTTAGGCACTATGCTACCAGAGCTCCCATAAATGTACACAGAGAGATTCATTTCAAGGAAATGGCTCATGCAATTGTGGAGGCTGGCAAGTCCCAAATTTGTGGGTCATGCAGCAGGCTAGAGGCTTCTCCTGACACATGTGATTGCAGGGGCTGCTGATGTACCCAAAATCAAAAAGTCAAATGTCAGTCTACTGGGTCACAAGTTTGCAGGAGCTGGCAAATCCAAAATCTGCAGGTCAGGCAGCAAACTGAAGCCTTCTTGTGTTCCAAGAACCAGACGTCAGAAGATGATGAGATGAATGCAGGATCAAGAGAGAGTGAGCTTTGCTAGAATATTAGTTATTATCGTGAATGCAAGCCACACCCCTAAGGAAATTCCTCTTCCAACGATTGGCTGTTCATATAAGGTCACAAAATGGGAGGCAATACATAATGTCTGCCAAATCATTGAAAATTTTAGCCTAGCCAAGTTGACACTTAACATTAACCATCACAAATATGAATGTTTTTAATCTCAGGTAATTTGATAGATGAATGACCAAAAAAAAAAAAAAAAAAATCATTCCTGTCAAGTCTCCAACTCATTGCTATGGAAACCCCTTCCTGGGTTTCCAAGGTGGTATCTCCATGGAATTAGATTCCCAGTCTTCCTTCTGAGGAGTGGCTGGTGGGTTTGAACTGCCAGCCTTCTAGTTAGCAGTCAAATGCCTTAAGTGCTATGCCACCAGAGTTCCCAGTATCTCTTTATTTTCTGTTTTCCTTATGGAGCCATCAGAGACCTTCATGTTCTAAGTCTATGCACTTTGTGTAAATGATCTTCTGGAAGCCAAGTGTTGTGGAAGGATTCAGTATGCCAGTGTCTTTGCAGCACTTGTCAGCGAATTCTATTAAACCATGTGGCTAGGAGGAAAGAGGAGAATTTTAGATCAGCTTAAGTTAGTAATGATTTTGCTCTACATCACTAAAAATAAGAAAAAATAAAGCAACTGGTTAAGTCTGGGTCAGCATAAAGCCCAGGTGCCAACTCCTTCCCTCCATGATCCACATCTTGGTACTGCTGCTTTTTCAATCCCTTTGTCCTTTCCCCTAAGAAGTGCTCTCTCTCTCTCTCTCTTTTATTTTTTGTCATAAGAAATGCATCTCCTATGGTAGATAAGGCAAACTGTGCTAGAGTTTCCCAGAGTATGTGGTAACAGATAACTCAGAAGTGTTGATTTCATGACTATAAAGCCATAAAGTGTTTCTTCCTACATGATTCTGGGACCTTGCCTCCTCTTCTTGAACCTGTTGAACGTGAGAAAACCAAAGGAAAAGAAACTGGCTCAAAGTTTGGGGTCTAGCCTGGCTACAGAGTTTTTAGAAAAGTACATTTTGTGACTGTTTGCAAAAAGAAATTCATGTTTGTGCCCCCTGGTCCCCATTGTGCATAGAAGAGCTTCTCACATGCACTGGGCATGTGTTATGGGTCTATGACTAACCAAAGTTCTGCATTTGAAAAGAAACTCTCTCATGCAATCCAGGTGGTCAGTCGTGAATTAAGGATGCCAATGTCAAATGTTCACTTGCGTGGAACAAGCACAGAAACCATCCCTAATACAAATGCCTCTGGAGGGTCAGTGGTGGCAGATCTCAACGGGTTGGCAGTGAAGGTAAAAATCATTGTGATATACCCTAACCACTAAGCCCTTCAGGATTAGTGGAGCTCAGAAGATACTGAGAGTTAACCAGTCTCTTATCTCCTTCCCATAACCTTTCAGTGATCGGTACTCCTCCCTCAGTCTCTCAGGACCACAGGCAGCAGGTCTCCGGGGCTAGATGGGCCACGTCTTTTTTTCTCCCTCACTCCTGACATCAGAAGATCCTTCAGACTCCTACCTTTGCCAAGGGCAGGGCCATTGGCTTTCTGTCTCTCCAGCACCAAGTTTATTGCCTTTCACTCTGTCTTCAACACCACTGCTAGAGTGAACTTGTCCACAAAACAAAGCTGACCTGAGTGAACTAAGTCACTCATAAGAGGACAAATATTGTATGAGTCCACTGTTCTAGAAAGTCAAGGAAAGGTTTACACATGGAAGTAAACATTCTTTAATGATTACTAGGGATGGGAGGGAAAAGGAAGAAAAATTACTAACCAGGTAAGAGACATGCATTAATTTGGGTGAAGGGAAAGGCAATATACAAACAGTGGGTGACCAGCACAGCATCACTAAGGAAAAAGAAGACACAGAGAAGAGCACAAGAGTTAAAAACAACGAAGGTTAACACTACTACACACACAATCCTGCATTACCAGTAATAGCAAACATTAATCTACAAGTGGATACATAAGTAGACAGGCACAATGGTTAGGCTTGGGTAGGTGAATAGGACTATACCCATGACCACATTTAGGTCTGGCAGACAATATTACTATATACCTGTTTGTATGTATGGTAAAAATGTTCATGTATATAGCAGAGCTAACAGGGGCAAAGTTATGAAAATTTCTTAGCCGTACCAAACACCTGGAGAGAATGGGTCACTGGGTGTGCGGGTTCAAGACCATAGTCGTGGGGGCCATCAAAGTCAATTGGCATAACATGGTCCACAAAGACATTGTTCTATGTCTTACTTTGGTGAGGAGTGACCAGGGTCTCAAAGTGCAAGTGGCTATCTGTGGTACAACTACTGGTCTCTCCTTGTCAAGAGCAAAGAAGACTGAAGAAAATCAGAGACACATGGAAACAATTAGGACAAAGGAATAATGGGCCACGTGAACCTCAGCCTCCATGACCTTGAGTCCAGAAGAACTAGACAGTTGGTGCCTGGCTACCACTGTCAAGTTCTCTGAAGGGATCACAATAGAAGATCTTGAGTTGAATGGGGGAAAAATATGGAACAAAACTCAAAATAATAATAATAAAAAGATCAGGCTTGTTGGTTTGATAGAGACTGGTGGAACTCTTGGGACTATGGCCCTTAGTCATCCTTCAGGCCCAGAACTGAACTCATCCCTGTGGCTCAGCCTTCAGCCAAACAATAGACAGGCCTGTGAGGTGAACAATAACACCTGTGAGATGCCACTCCTTAGAACAATTGACCCTAAGAGAGCAGAAGGGCAGCATTTGCCCAGGGATAGAGCTCAGAAGGCAGGAGTGGATAGGAAAGAAGGACAGAAGGAAATGTTAACAACAGAGAAGAAGAGGGAAGTGTACTGTTACATTGTAGGTATTGCAATCAATGTCACGAAACAAAATGTCTATGAACTGTTGAATGGAAAATGAGTCTACTCTGTAAACTTTCACCCAAATCACAATAAAAAGTTAAAAAGTATTTTTTAATAAAAAATTCGTTAAATTTTAAAAAAATTGGTGACCATGCCATGTTTAAAAACAGTAGCCTTAGTTTGACCAATGGTTTTTAAGTCTGGACTTCTTAGCATGTCTCTTACAATCTGGTCTCCATCCTGGCTAGTCTCTCTTGAAGACTAGCTCACAGTTTATACACACACTCTGAGTGGAATCTGGTACATCCCTTTCTTACAGGGTTGATCTCTTCTTTTTCTATGTTCCCCTGGTCTCTTAAATAAGCCTCTGTAATTCTATTATGACTCAGAACATGTTGTTTTGAAATTGTTGTGTGCATGTCTGTCTTTCCACTAGTCTGTGGTTTCTGAATCACTGCTGTTGACATTTTGGGCTGGGGAATTCTTTGTTGTAGGGGGCTGTCCTATGCATTGTAGCATATTTTGCAGCGTCCCTGGACCCTACCCAGTAGATGCCAGTAGCACTCACTCCTCAGTAGTGACAATCAAAAGTACCTCCAGACACTGGGAGGTGTTACCAGCTTGAGAACGACTACACTAGTCTACGAGCCCAGGGCAGAGACCAGTACAGTGTCGTGAGTTAGACCTCAGAACAGAGGCTGACACTAGACTGCGTGGGTTCAAATCCTAGTCTGCCATTTACCAACCATCTGAACTTGGAAATGGACCTTGATTTATTTAATAAATATAATGCTGATTTGTATATTTTCTTTGTCATTTTATGATCATAATTTTAATTAAAAAATAATTCCTAGGATGCTTGTCAAACTCTTCTAAAACGCCTTGAACCCATCATCAGCAAGAATCCTCGAGGCACTTGGAAGGATTGGGTGAGAATCACTGTTTTCTCTGTTTTATGTTAGAAAAGAAAGAAGGGGGAAAGTGAGAAAGATATGTGTGAATTAACTATCTGCGGAAAGGGCATTTTAAAAGCTACAGTTGCACAGTGATAAATAAGGAGGCATGTGGAAATCCTATCCTAACATGGTGGAGTAACTCTTACATCAGGAAAATGCCATGGTTTCTTTGGCTATTAGAGGAAAAGCTAGTTCTTCTGCCCAGAGCTCCCATTTTAAGCAAGAATTAATTAACGTTTCTTCCTATGAAAACTGTTTTCTTTGTAATAGCTGTAAATCTGTTTGTTCTCTGTCTCTTGTGCTTCTGCTTTTCCTAAAATTGAGTCATTTTGTAAAAGGAAAGTCATGCAATCATTCATTTAGAAACAGGAAGCCAAGCCCTCGAGTATGTGTTCAACATGTACTAGGCACTAAATGGAATGGAAAGATATTCAACCACTTCCTTTGATCTATATATAGTCTAGTTGGAAGAGAAGCCTCACATTCTAAAACCAACTAGCAAACCTTTCATAGTAATAGATTGTAATGTACCAGATGGTGTGGGGCAGATCTCATTAAAGGCTGCAAGTATATGTTGTGCTGAGTGTTCCAGAGTGTGCGTGTTTGCAACATTAAAAGCACTGGTCTAGGGGAAGTAACTCTTGAGGAGTGCTACTTAGAAATGGTTCCAGTTATGCCATAGAGTTAGGACATCTTTCAGATGTATGGAAGCTCTAAATCCTTTCTGGACATATTTATCACTGCCCTGTGCTCACTACCCTCAGCCTTCTGTGCCACCTGAGCCCAGAAAGGCTGAGAGCCTAACTGGAGAAAGCTGGAGAGAGATGCGGCATGACAGAGTTGGTTCGCTGCCACTCAGCCCAAGTCTGTCTCTAATGCTGGCACTTATCACTCTCAGACTTGGGGACTTGGACACATGCCCCATCTTGCTGTCTAGTAGTCAATTGTGTGTGCTGTGGTCAGGAGAACTTTTGGTGTAAATGGTACAATTTAGCAAAATTATTTCCCTCTCCTGCAATTGTTATGGATACATGAAATTAAAATTAAACATCCAGCCAACCATTGTTTCCTGAAAAGTCCCAAGCTAATAGGTTAAGTCTTTCCAAATGACTGAGTGCAATTCTTCATAAGCAGAATGCTATAGTCCGGTCTGTAAGTGTAGTGTGCCACAACAGTCATTTATTACAATCAGATGTATTGAAAAAAAGCTGTTACTGCAAGTCATGTCCACTAGTGCTTGCAGAAATAAAGAATGCTGGACTGAATTAATCTTGTCCTTCCCAGTTATGCCTGCTGATAGCTTTACTTAACATAGAGTAAAATTGAAGTCTCAAGTGATTGTTTGTTTGTTTAAGCATCCTTGTTTCATCATGTTATACTCTGCCTTCACAGGCACAATCTGCTTTTGATGAAAGCATTAGCCTTTCGGCCACTGGCTACTTCAGGTAAGTAGCCCTTTCAATTGTGTACTAGATATCTATATCTTGCTATAGAGATCTTGGTATCTCAAGGAAGTGTTTCAGATCTGTTTGCAATTTTGGCAAAAAAAAAAAACATTTTATACCTTCTACTAGCCATTGTTATAAAGAACATTTAACTGCTAGTTAATCCAAATGTCCAGAAAGACTTTTGTTGGGTACAATAGGCATGCAAATCAAATTCAGTTAATTGAATGATTCAGTCATACTGGGTGATATTAGAGGGTTCTGTGGCGATTGGTGCTTGGAACCCACAGCAGTGATTGACCTTTCAGTGGAAATTGAATCAGTCCCTTAAGTTAAAGAACAAAGTTAGGGGAAGCAAATTAAACCCATAATGAGATACACACCACTTTACATCTTCTACACTGGCAAAAAAATAAGACATTTGACAATAACATGTGTTGTCAGAGTGTGGAACAACTGGAACTCACATGCCTTGAAGAACAATTTGTCAAATTATTTTCATGTAGAGTGGAAGACATTAGAGAGCAGGGCAGGAAAGAGAGCCTCACTTGGTTTTGTCACTTTGCCAGCTGTTATGGGGGTCCTGGTTACTGACTGGTTGTCAGGAACAAGCATTGGTATAAATGGCATAAGACATTTTCAATGGCCACCTCTAGGCTGGGAAGCAAAGTAAAGACGGGCAGAGAGTTTTAACACATTGCTAACCTATATGTCTCTTCTACCCTTGACATTCATTTGGTGTCATTAGAGAAGATTTAGGGCCAGAGCTGGCTGGGGGCCTGATGCTGAGAGTCCAGAGTAGTGTCAAGGAGTGAGCACCACAGGGCCTGATCCCCGATATAGAAGACTGAATCCTTGAGCTAGAAAGATAGATAAAGCAGACAAGTGTGTGTCTTTGAAATAGTGTTTGGTGTAAATTTCAGGTTGAATTTCCCAAGTCTGATGACACCACCCAAGGACTCCAATGACAATAAGATTACATGATCCAGTATTAGCCAACAGCAATAAGATGTATAATCATAAAGTCCGCAGCCAACTCCAGGGGCAAGGAGGCATTGGTTGGTAGTGATTGAATGTTTTTATCAGACAAGTCAAGTTTAATAAGAAAAAAGTAAATTTTTACTTATTCAACAGATTTATTGAGCAGGGCTCAGCAATGTGCAAATGTCTCCCTCTGGTTTGCTGTGTATACAACTTGAGCACAGTTCCTTATGGTCTGTTCAATCATCGTGGTCTGTGATGAGTAGACTTGATCACTGAACTATATACTTCTCAAGAACTCTGTTTTCTCCAGGGGTTATGAGTCAAACATGGACTGGGAGAAAGGCAAAGGTCGTCCCTTCGAATATTTTGTGTACGGAGCTGCCTGTTCCGAGGTTGAAATAGATTGCTTGACGGGTGATCATAAGGTCAGTATCAGTTGGAAAGGTCTTCAAGTCCCACTGAAGATACACCTAAATTCCACATATTCCATCAATCTGATAAGAGTTGACATTCATTTGGTGTCATTAGAGAAGATTTGGGGACAGATATGGCTGGAGCCTGATGGTGAGAGTCCAGAGTAGTGTCAAGGAATGAGCACCACAGGGCCTGATCCCTGATACAGAAGACTGAATCCTTGGGCCAGAAAGATAGATAGATTGGATAGATAGGGTCCATGCTACATGCATGGTACTGCTATACCATGTATTTGGCTGAAGGATAATTTCTCTGTATTGGCAGAAGGAAATAGAAGCTCAGTAATTGCCATGGTGGTGGGGCAGCCTTCATGGGAAACAATGGTGGGCCACTCTTCTTTATTTCCTGGGCCCTTTTATATGAAATCAGGAAAGAAGCCAGTTAGAAGAAACACAGCTTAAAGGGGGTTCCATGTAGACTGTTGGCCCTCTTTGTGAAATGGGATCCTATGACATCTTTGAAGGATTTCATAGGCATCCATATGCCACTAACAAATATGAAGGGCCAGTACAGGGCAGATAGTGGCCAGCTTTGTACCCAGCCAAAAGCAAAAAACAAACCCACTGCCATCAAGTCAGTTCCAACTCATAGCAACCTCCATTGGGTTTCCAAAGCTGTAAATCTTTACGGAAGTAGATTACCTCATCTTCCTCCTATGGAGCAGCTGGTGGGTTTGAATCACCAACCTTCTGGTTAGCATCTGTTCTGGCTAGCTAGTGCCACTCTCACAAGAATATACTACAAATGGGATGGCCTTAACAAACAAAAGTTTATTCTCTTACAGTTTAGAGGCTTTAAGTCCAAGTTCAAAGTGCCAGGCTCTAGGGGCTGAGAGAAAGCCCCTCAACCTTGGGGTCCAGTTCTGCCTCCTGCTTCTGAACCACTGGAGCTAGAGGCGTTTCTTCACTCAGACAGCTGCTGGCTGCTGAGGCTGAGAAGCCCAAGGTTGACAAGTAAAAAGGCACAGTCCCGACATTACCAAACCACATGGCAGGCCATTAACTCAAATTGATTATAAGTCCCAAGGTCGGCAGAGCATGGCAGGCTACTGAACAATGACACAGCTACAAGCAGGGTCCAAGCGTGCCATATGCTAGAGACCATTCCCAAGGCTTCTCCTTATATACAGGAAGCAGACCACATCCCAAAGGCAGCTACTCAGCTGCTTG